TTTCATTTGACAAAAACGATTACAAACATTTTCCTTTTAGTTCACTAACCCCACGATGCAGTTAGTGATTGACAAAGTTTTCATGTCGGAGGCATGAAGTGCAGGTCGGTGGATAGGAAATCGGGACAGGACGTGTCCTATAGCTGATGGCGAAGTTTATATTGCCCTCCATTCTCTAGAAATGAGGCATGATAGACCGAAGGGAGATTGTCACAGGGTAAAGTCACACATGGTGAGAAACTGTCAATACTGATTATGCTGGGGTTAGTGCTAGAATTCATGCAGTGTATTATATACATAATACACAAGTCCGCAAATACACAAACTGAAAAAGTTATTTCCAGAATTATATAACAGACATACTAATTAAATTCCGTCATCAAACACCATTGTTAACACCAAGGCAACGATTTGTCATTTACCAACTTCCTACGTTACAGATTTCTGTTCAGTTAGACTTTCACATAAACGCTAGGGTTAAGTATGACCGAACCTGCTCAAGGAATAAGACAGCCATCTCCACCATATACATCGATTTCGCTCGGAGACATAAAATTGACTTTTGTAAGACAATGAATAAAACAAATATGTATCTGTAACTCTGTACTTGATCTCGAAAAATGTAAAAATGTAGCAGTGTGAAACACAATCCTAATTAATATGTATTCCTGTAATCGATATCACACCAACATTGCCGTCAGTGTCTTGGTATGGCTAGATTTTACCTTAAAGGATCTTTATCGTTTCTACACCCCCGTTATTTTCATAATCTTAACATGTATACCACGTTTTAATTCACTCATTGGCACGGTTCGGAATATACGCATGCACAAAATGTTGTTCTAGAGTTACCTGATATAAAATTGCTAAATCTATTGAATATTGGTGCTTGTGCATTTTCTCATCTAGATTTTGTCTTTTCTTTCGATCGAGTTTTCCTCAATCGCCGTCCTATAGCGATTAGTAATCACAATGAGGATAAATAATCACGTGCACTAATTCAACACGTTTTTGATCTTTTGAATATATTAAGATGTTTTTATGTCACAATGTTTTCAAGTTATGGTCCTTAAAGAACAGTATAATACCACGTGGTTAGACGTATAGGAGCAGACATATTTAAATGCATTCTTGAAACGTTTTCGTGGTGTTAAAGAGCAAAGTAAGGTAGTTAGTTTTTTTTGCAAAGTTGAATGTGTATTGTCACTGGCAAGAAATGAAAATGGGAAAAAGATCAACTACAGGTAATAATATGTTTGCAATCTGAATAAATTTTACCAAATAAAACATTGTTTTATTTTTTTAATTGTTTTTTTTTTATTTATTTTTGTTTTGTGTTTTGTCTATTTTGGTTTTGTTTTTTTAATACTGTTACTTTCGTCATGTGTTGTAATTATAACTACCATAAAATAAGTTAATATGTTAACGACACAATACGCAACAAATGGTAATGGGGGAACGGATGGCGACTTTTCTTTATATCTAACAAAATATGTAGACTATAAAAAATCTTGACATATATTTTTTCAACGCGATATGGTAGTACAAAATGAATACGTTTTATAATGGACGTTTCACTATTAAATTTTTTGTACAGGTTATGGTGACATGATACCAATAAAAATGGTTCGAAAAAGCTATAATATTTAATATTTTAACAGTGAATATGGTAACAACACATTTTGTCTTGACATAATTTAAAATATTATTCTTACATTTATTATTTAAAATGTTTGATGTATATTGATAGATAGATTGTGAGAGCTGAAATAAAATAGTCATTAGCTTGCTGGAAGACTTATGTCAGTATATTATAAGGGTATTCGTTACAAAGGTCATAACTGGAAAAACGGGTAAAATTCATATAAATCTGGGATGTGGATAACAACCATTTTAATTCTGTTTTTTTGATGATTTTTGTACAGGTGATATAGAAAAGAGTTGTAAGTACCACGTCTTATTCTGTGTACCAGTCACTCCTAACATTTAAATATAAATTCCCAAGTTGTAACAATACATGTACATATTTAGCTTTATTGTGATTCTAAATAAGTATACGTGTAGGCGCAAACATTATCCAGCAGATCAGAAGTAATCTTAAACGTAAACATCGGGGTCACTGACATTAAATTAAGATTGAATTACCCGACTGAAACGCTCTGTTGTGTTTACTGCAATAGTGTATTTTTTCGATTACTTTAGTTTTTCCTTAGTCGCCTTCTTGGCTTCAAACGTTCGACTTAGCATCACGGACGAGTCCTAGGAGGACGAAACTACTGAATGATGCAGTTTATTCTATTTTTGGCTCTATTGTATCTAACTATAAAGTTGTATTATAAAGTGTCATTTATTTGTGTTTCTTTTGTACACTCGTCGCAGTTTACTGAAATACATGCGGTGTACTTATATCTGAATACACCGGTATCAGTGACAAATAACATTCGGTATAAACACAATCTGTAGCACGGTTGTTGACCATATTGATGATATCTTATATGGATAACTAAGGAGTGTGTCGTTTCTGTTTCTGTAAATGTTTTACATACTACTGAAAAACTACATACTTCGTTGGGGGATTCACGGTTAATATTAGAACAGATTGTTTCCAGGTAGCTTCAGTCTCTATATGACTTTTTGAATCAGTTTGGGTTTGGCCGTTGTAAATCTTGTACTTAAAGACATAGATGTATATCACGGGTTATGTTACATACATGTACATATATATATATTCATCTTAAAAACCAAAATACAATTGATAAAAAATGTATATCTTGACAGACATAAATTTTACATCAACCTTTATTTGTTATATTTTTAATGACGTCCTTCTTCATTATTAGTAGTCAAAAATGATTCCGTATAAATAAACACACAGGTATTAGCATATTAAACTAATGACCAAACATAAAATCCTGATACCTCACACAGTCGATTTGTATTGTAATGCACAATATATATGCAAAAATCAACATGACTTATAACAAAGATCTGATTACTGACACATTTGCAGCGTGTGACAATAAATAAACACTAGACGCTTTCCGACTATACTAGCTAATTGCTTCGACAAATGTTGTCACCTTGCTACTTGAAGAGGTGGTATGAACTGTGACCATGACACGTGTTGCATATCGATTTGCTTCCAACATGATGTACAAATGTTATTAATACTATTTAATTATCTGATTCTGAATCAATTTCAAGTTTCAATAATTATAGAAAAAAATGCCTAAAACTCATTGACGATGCACCAATGGAAAATATGTATAGGGCTAAATCAAGTAATATCGTTCTCTGATGATAATTGAATTTTAAAATTTTTGCTTTATTTCGCTCCACCTATTGCATTGGTATAGTAATAGGGTCATTCTCTTTTTAAGACAAATGAGAAAATATATTAATGTAAGATAAAAACAAAAAAATGTTTTAAAATATGTACAGTATGTTACTTTCATATCACATTATTTGTTATGATTTATAATTAAACCTGTTAAAAACCCTCTAAAATGTAACTAATTACATCCTATGTCTTTGTTGGTATTCACAGTTGTTTTTGGAAACAAATAAAAACCATATTGATAAAAGAAATACAGGCATTTAAACTGTATTCAACAAAATATGAACTAAAAATACAGTTAATTAAAATTCATACAAAGAATGAACAAAGTGTCGGTTTGTTTCAAAAATGTGTGTCTCCATTTATATATAGATATATGTATATTCAAGATATTTCAGTATATTGTATTGGTATTTGATCCTGATATAGGGGTGCATTTGAAAACAAAAACAGGAACAAAAAACCCCGACAGTAGGTGTTAAGACGTTACATAAAATAATCACTGGCTATATCTATAATCTATAATGATATATCAATCAGGAGTTTAAAGGATTGACTTCCAAGGAAAATGAAAAAAATACAGTATTAAAAATAAATGTCATTCTAACATACTGGTTATATATATAGAAATAAACTTAACCAAATTTAACAGATACTCAAATATAACATAAGTTAAATAAATTCCAGATCGGTTAACAACAACCTGCCTTATCAAATTTATCTGTTAATATTACACCAATTACACAAGAGAACGGAGTCATGCTTAAACTGCATTACACATATACACCGATGTAAGCCAAAATACTATCGTCAAGTATTTCGTATATTCAATTTCCGAAATCATTGACTATAAATACATCTCATACATTCTGCTAATAGCTCGTGTAACCAATTAAAACTTTGTGGATTCTAAAATACAAACTTAAGATGGCACCGTTCACGATAAATTCACGTTAGAAAGTTAGAAGTGAAGCTTTGAATTATTAATTTTTAAACAAATCAATGTAGTTCAGCATGATCAACAAGCTACTGAGCTGAGGTTATAGTTCATAAAGTCTTAGTCATTTGGAAGATATTTTTTCTCAAAATCTACAGAACAGCAATGTCATAATACGGCGTCACGTGACATGTATACCCAGCAAAGATGTCATGATTTACTGTATTACTGGTGAATCACGTGTCATAACTTCATACATAATGATCCACAAGCCATGACTCTTAACATTTTAACAAATCAGATCTCAAAATTGTTCTCAAATGGATTCTGAAAACATTATTTAACAGCAACTATTTTATAACGGAACAAGTACTTTATCAAAGTAAGAAATAAAAATATATCACCGCTGCGCTTACCATCAAATGTATCACAATATGAGACAGAAAAGCTCATGTGAATATTGACCTTTTATAAAAAGATAGATAATGATATACAAATCAGCAAACTTCAAATACATAAATCGGACCTTGTATCAGTAAACAAACGAAATTGCACTTTGTTAGTAAGTATATACTATGTACTCGGAGACCTCCACAGAAATTTAGTTTTCACCCATTACCTGCCTTTCTCTATTGGGCAAAAACGTTCTGAAACAGTAGAATTAGAATTTAAATGCAAGTTTTTAGGGTGAATGAAAAACTAGTCAAAAATGAATCTTATGCAAAATTAAAAACCTGAACGAAGAGGGTGAAAACAACTGGGACGAATGATGCCCAGTATAGGGTACTTTTGCTCAAACAAGAGCATGGTCATCACACTCGCAAGACTGAAATTGACAGAGGATGCAACGCCTGTAACAGGAGGTACAGGTGTTGCCGATGTATATGACCAGCTCCCACACCGGGGAAAGTTGGCGGGAGGGGAGGGTATCTGGTCGAAATCATCGACCTGAATCACAACTCCCATTCCAATGTTGGCATGAAACTCAATGTGACAGTGCATAAACCAAAATCCTGAAATAGAGAAATTGCCTTTTGATAGAGTCGTAGTTTATCACTTTAGTTTAAATTTGGTTCGATTCAAGAATGTATTCAATCTTATCTTGCAACTGCTCTTCCTTTGCCGAAATGCAAGTTGTTTTGCGGTATTCGGCATTAATTTGTTTTCTGATTACCTTAGATATTTCATTTGAAAATGTAAATAACAGATCAAATAAGCGATTGTATTTGTTGTATCAAAGACGGCTTTTTTCACAAAAAATAATAAATTTGCATTTTATATCCATTAAATTGTGTAACTAGATTTACGTACAGAGCAATTATTTTGACGTTTGTCATCAGGCACCATTCAGGGTTACGTGAACGTCAGGTAAACAAATATTGAATAGTCCTAACAAACTAATTATAGTCTGAATTTTCAAGAAGTGTTGCAGGATAAGTAGAATACAAAGCCAGTGTCTAAAAATATAAGCTGCATTTTGGCTCGGGAGAGAAAGACAAAAGTGGTTCCACAAAGGCTGACCACTTCCTTCAGTCTTTCTTCCTTTCGCGGCAAAATACAGCTTATATTTAAAGACACTGACCATATATTCTCTATAGTATTACTATAACAAAATTAAAGTTTGTCAGAAAGTAATGAAATTGCCATCAAAAGAACATTTACATGACACTACTTTGGTAAAGCTACATTTTAAGTATGACACAGACTTTGCTAACCTATCAATTAAAAGTCTTTGTTTATATATGAACAATAACATCTCGAAATGCTGACAATTATTTTGTTTTAAATCTGTAAATGAACGTGTTTATTCGAAAATTGTTCCATCGAATTCGTCAAACAAAAACTTCATGTGTTTTCTTTGCTAATACTGAGAGAATACTTAAAATTGATAAATCAATGACCCCTTTATTATTTCACATTTTTGCTGATCAGTGGGATGAGTACCTGGATTGTTGGCATGGACTCGGAGGATGACATAACCACCATCTGGAACGGTAACTGTGTCTTTATCAACAGGAGACGTCAAGTTTCTGATCAGCTTTCCTTCATTGTCCAGACGTTTCACCTCCTCAAGGGTCGTAGACTTGCTGAGCTGGAAAATGCATAATTTACAACATAAACATTGTTGATGTAAAATGATAAATACTTAAGAAATGAAAAAATATAATGATGCGTCAGATTTTCATTTACAACCAAAAGTTACGTTTCACCTCCTCAAGGGTCGTACACTTGCTGAGCCGGAAAGTACATAATTTACAACATAAACATTGTTGATGTAAAATGATAAATACTTAAGAAATGAAAAAAATATTATGATGCGTCAGATTTTCATTTACAACCAAAATTACGAAACCTTGCTGACTAAAAATTTCATTAAATGTTATTAATTTTCCTTAATATAAACAAAACAGAAAGGATATTGATTTAAAATGTAATTAGATAGTGGTTTAGATTGTGTTTATTAGCTAATAATTTTGTAAAACATCCTTTATTGTTAAGTGGTTCACTTTGAACATAGACAATATTCTGTGATACAGGTAAAGATACACGTGTGTTTACATTTTATACTGTGTTGATATACACACCCTGTCCATGCCTATCACCCTAAACTTATGACCGTGAAGATGCATTGGATGATTGGCATCCCAGATCTTTCCTTCATCGATAACTATAAACTCTACAGTGTCATCCAGGTCCACCTTTAGTGTGTGAATACATTTACAAAATTCCTCGGAGCAATTCCTTTTCACAGTGTCAGCATTACAGAACATCTCCTACAGATAGAGTAAACAACTTTTTTACTATATGTTTACTAATGTTCACGGGTCAATAGGTTATTTAAAACATCTTAACACAATAACGATCACACCTTGACAATTGAGTCCTTCCAGGTCTTAATGCGAATTTAACTATCATAAACCTACATACCTGGTCATGCATTCGTACAGAGTTAACCAAATAATTTTGTCACGTTTGTCATGGTAATGATAACATATTAAGTGCGATTAGGTTTCCTCCGTTTAGAATAAAATCAGTGACTTGATTGTTGTGAAAAACATAGCTAAAACGAAAACACTGTTGAATGTAACAGTAAACCGAATTTGAACGAATAAAATTTCAACAAGTTTCATGTACTTCATATTAGGTGGAAGGTAAATTGAAACGATTTCGCACTGGCTATTCTATATACAACCTCATTTATATAAATAAATTGCATGGCTAACTTTTTATTGAAGAGTCGCTCGTTTGTGTGCCTAGTACAATTTTTGAGACTGGTAGATGGTTAGCTTTACTGATGAACTCAACTTTCCGAGCCTGCATGCCAATACCAGCTATGACGAGTTCAGCTGTATGATGCAGATTAAGTTGCTATTTGCTAACATATAATCCATTCTAAATTTCTGTTGAAAGATGTTGTATATTTATGAATCTTTTGTATAAACTTTAACGACAATGTCATTGATCAAACCAACAAGAATATATATCTATATGGTTTTTTCCGAAGAAAAGGATATAATTAATCGTGAAAAGATACTTAGTATCCCGATGATGATATTAAGAAAATGTATACCTCATTTAATATTACATTTTACAATCAGGATTATTGTGATGTATCAAATGATAATTCCAATATTAATATTCTCTCTCACCCCTCCGTACTCATCGTATGTCGTAGAATTTCGATAAAGAATTACAAAGAATATAAATAAATTGATAAATGATTAGACAAAAATAAATAGAAAAAAATATATAACCCTAGCGTCAGAGTTGGTAACTGCGTACCTGTGGTATGTCATGGAATTGTGTCAGAGGAGGGGAAGGTGGCAGGGTATTGCTGATATGATTTATCTGCGGTGACAATAAGTGGTAGTATGCCTCCACGACAGTGGAAGGGGAAACATATTCAGACCCTACATAGAAGTTATAGTTGTCGATGTTGTTAAAGTCCATTGTGAGGTAGAACTTCTTGTCTGGTGTTTCCTGAAGTGCTTTGTTTGAAGGACGCATATTGTCAAGATGCGTTACTGGTACCAGCATATCTGTTGCTTTTTTATTCCATGGATTGAGTTTCTGAAAATAGGACAGACCATTCACAAATTTAAGAACAATACTACTGACATATTCTTAAGTTAATTAACCTAATTTGTATATATATAAATATAGCAATATGCGAGATTCCAAAGCTCTTACTATCTGATGTTATTTTTTCGTAATAATGATAACTTGTTATTGAAGTAAGACAAGGGGGGAAAAGTAAAGGAAGAGAAGCAGGTGCTTTTGTCTAGTATCCAATGTGATTGTTGATAATAAAAGAATTTGAAAAAAAGCTTGATTCTAACTGTCCATGGCAGGAAATAATCTTTATAAATAAGATATATTTTCCTTATCATTAGTTGTTTAATGGACATGATTTCACCTTTCCTTCTCGGTCTCCAAACTGGTGTCCTATTGGACGAGTCGGAAACTCTTCGACTGCACCACTGTAACGGAGGATAGCTTGTTGGTAGACACTTTTTGCAATACAACCAGCTTGTCCCCGCGCCCTGACCCAATAATTGTCCACAGGCTGATCGGCTAGAATGACCACATCAAAACGCTCACCGGCGAAAATATTGATGCTTTCAACGTCGATAGGTTGGAATGGATTACCGTCACTGCTGATAACGCGAAGTGTATGGTTGTCAACGGATAACTGTATTGGACAGTTAAATATACCATTGCTTATTATCCGGAACCTGTAGCGCCGCCCGTGCTCAACATTAAACACTTCATATGGTGTTGTGATGTTCTCACTTCGTTCACTGTTGTAGAAAACACGATGAGCTCCTCTTCCTTAATAGAATAATTAATAAAGACGAAATATTAATATCTATTTATGTACTCTTTCGATATTGAAAATAGCAATATGAACGTAACTATTATGGTCGATAAAAGAAAGGATTTATTACGCTCCTATCTCTACCTATGTGAAATACGTATATCTCATGTGAACACCCACTTTGCCATACTGATGTCACAATGACATGAGAAGTCACATTATGACGTCAAAAATCATAATCCTGTCCTATTATTGCTTGCTTGGTTATGACGATTTGTCATCTCCATCTCATAAACAAAATAAGTCATTACACAAGTTCCTGTGTGTGTGTTTTTTTCTAATATGGCTTTACCTTCTATGTATGTAAGAGAAAGCATACTATATCCAGCACAGCAGTTGTTTAGAAAACATTGTGTATTTTTTTCAAATTATCAAATATTTGTGTAAGAGATGGGAGAAAAACAGTCAACCATATATTGATATGTGGGATGTTGGGTAATCTACCTTTGGGTATAGAATTTGGATTCATAACCGAGGCAAAGCTTTAGCATAGAAAGACGAAATAGCTGTATGATGAAGTTTAACTCATTGTTTAGTTTCACCGTATCTAACTCCAACTGCATTAAAATGTACCATTTACTTGTGTGTCTTTTATACACTCTTGGTAGACCCTGCTGGTAGACATTTAGTCCCGAGGTTTGCCAAATCCTGCATGCCATGTTTGAATTAATTCGAATAGTGGCACGGTAAAAAATATACACGTACTTTACGTTGTTCTAATACATGATAATTATGAAATTTATTGAATAATGGGGCTTTGGGTTTTCCTCAATTTTCTCATTGGCTTTGAAATTTAGGCCCTAACATCACTGACCAGTCCTAGACGGATGAAACAACTGTATGATAGCTTCACTCAGTGTTTGGCTCTACTCTGTCTATCTCTAAATTTGCATAAGTAAGTTCCATTCACTTGTGTGTCGTTTGAACAATGTTCGAGTAGAATATCCATTATTCCACAATAATGGACCAACATAATCATGTTTTATTCTATTGATCTCCAATACACGCCATGTAAGCACCCGAAATTGTCAAATACATCAAACATTAATTTCCTAAATAGTGAATAATATTATATTGAACATTGAAACACCTTTTCCATGTTCTCTCATTTTGTGGTTGTGCTTTTGCATATTTGTCTACGGACTGAAGAGTGATATTATATATATACATATATATATATATATATACGCTAAATCGAATAAGGTATTAATATTTTATCATTACATGTTTCAATTCGATTACACACAAGATTTCAAAATAATGCATCATTATACATTAACATATTTAGAACACCTTCATTTTTTAATGTTCATGAGTAGAAAATGCAAATTATAATGCAATTTTTTGGATTAATGACTTCTATTAGGAAAATAAAATGGTAACAATATTTTGAGATATTTTAAAGGCAATTGAATGAAGTAATAACTGGAATAACCATTAATGAGAATTGACGCCGGCTTTTGTCACCGTGAGCTTGATGATGGTTGGCAAAACGATCTAGAGTTAATTCCATCAACCAATCGTTGACGAGCATGGTATGTTCGGGTAAGTCTTAGTCATAGACACCGTGATGGAACTCGCGTTCTGAAGCTTGTCGAACAACATCAGAGCGATGTTGTCCTGAATGTCCGTGCCAAAAGTGGGTTCCAGGACCGCTAACTGTAAATCTGTAGAATGAAATACAATTCAGCTATAAATTTGATCGTTGCATAACTTTTAACTTAAGTTTGTGAACGATTACAATTTATTGAAAAATGTCACGAAAACATATCGCCATGTTCAATAGCATAATGATTTTTTTTAAAATTCCAATTTTTTCCATAATCTTCAAATCTAAAATGAAAAAAAACTATGGGAACACATTAACAAAACGGAGACTTCTGAAAAAACACTAGGAAAATAAGACCAGGTATTCTTAAAGAGTTACCGTCTTCTACTTTATCGACACCTGCCATCTGTAAAACTTGGTAGATCCAAGAAAATGATATCGCATTCTCGTGTATGGGGCACTGGGGTAAGCATACCAACCCCGTCCATGTGAGGGCTGCCTCGCGGTAGGATACCGTGTCAATGAATTGACATACCCATTCCATTCATTTTGTTATGAACATTAACCATTACAGTGTCTCCCTCACAAACCTTCAACATAACATGAACTTTATAGTGAGTCTGTTAAATATGATGATTTCTAGATAAATAAATTGACATAAAGGGACTAAGTTGATAGTCATACGTAAAGACAATCTGATCGAGTTCTAGGTCGATACGACAAATATGGGGACTAAGTTGATAGACAGCCATACGTAAAGACAATTTGATCGAGTTCTAGGTCGATACGACAGCACGGAAACATATTGGCACAAATCAATAAAACATTTGTACCAGAAGTTTAAACAATCAATTCCTATTCGTAATTTCAATAAATATTACTTGCAAAAGGAAGAGTGTATTTTTGTATCACTTCATTACACTTGAATGTTTTGTATAACAAATTTCTGAAAGGGCTGACAGTGTTTTTAATCTTTCTAATATTTTATTACCTCACCTCAACTATTTTTTTTATAAATTTAGATCATATCATTAGACAACAGATGAAGAGATACAATTGTAGCAAAGATCCATAAAGCAAGTAGACAACCATACGTATACACTGCTTGATATGTATGGCTGGTCCCGGCAACATCCTGTTGACGACAAGGATTGCCCGGGAATTACCGTCGGCTGGGATACACCCGGGTCTGTAACAGTCCGTGATGTTGTGAGGACAGTCACGGCACGCCTTGGTCAGAGTATAGAAGGTTTCGGCTTGGAAATCATATTCACAGAACATGGGAGAGTTAACTTCACATGTCCTGATGCAAGGGTGGTCCCGATGATCTAACAGAAACCGATTCGAAAGCATTCATTCCTGGTCAAACAAGCGAATGATTGATATAACGTTACACCTGGTATTATGTCATAGAAATCAATATTTTTCAACGTCTTGAAAAAAACTGTTCCTCTAATGAAACTCTTTTTTCACAAATAGTATGATAGTGATATAATTTATGTACAAAGCATCGTTTTGAATAATTAGCAAGTAGTTCTATTGACTTAATTCATATCTTATATACACTTACATTGAATTCTAACTATATTTCTCGGAGATTGTTTATCTGTGGTTTAGTTGTTTATAGGGGGATGGTATACTTGTAGAATGCATCTAAAGCCACGACGTGAGAATGGAATAAATGGAATCTGTCAGCTCTGCTTCTGCACAGTCATAACAAATCTTATGAAATAGATGTTATTGCACTGTTAATAGGGTAAGTTATAACCGACGGAATACAAATATCGGTGCGTAACAGATGATCGAAGTTTGACTCACGTTTCACCGACATCATGCTTTCTGAGACACTGGTATGGAAGGTAACCGCCAGTATCATAATCGTCAAGGAAAGCATGGTGTTGTAGTCTATAGAAAATGGATTAAGAATATCAATTACGCCTGTGATATGAATATGTCTGATATGTTGATATAATAAGACTTTTATGTAGAAATGTGTTCATTTTTTTCCAGTTACTTAATTATCTAATTGGATAGTTTGGCGGCAAAGTGGTTACACAATCGCCTTTCAACTAGAAGTTCTAATCTCCGAACGGACGTGAAAATAGGTCACCTGCCCGACCATGTGGATCTTTCCTGGTCACTCCAGTTTCCTCTCACAGACTTCTCGTGCTCTTACGTCCGCGCTAACAAGAGTGATTGACACAAACAGTATGTGATGTTGCGGAAGTGTTGTAAAAATATATGAAGTTTAACTTAATTATCTTTGATACTAACATCAAGGATTTAGGATCGGGTTATAGAAAACCATTTTTATCTTAACTGATACAAAGATACAAAAAACATGATTAAATATCTTTTGGCCAATTCTACATCCTCTCAATGTTGTATGGACTGCTAATGTTTCATCCGTAATTGTCAATTATACGTACCTTGCCCACCGGTAGATATGCTGGGTGTCAATATTTATTATCTCTGTTTAGAAATGAAGGTACGAGAGATTTAAGGGCACGCATGAGGTTCCAAAAGAAATCGGCATATAGGTGATGAAATATTTAGTCAAACGTGGCAAGATGAAGACATGCCTTGAGAGTTATATATAAATACGTCCCGTCAACATTGTACCCGTGTTTAATATACATCCTTTTTACGATTCGTATACCATGTACATATATACTGAAACGAATAAGAAACGCAACTTCAAATTGTAGGTTTAATAAAATAATACTTGTGAGCATTATGTCTAAATTTCATATGTAATAGTTAATATTGAATATTGATGTAACATCCTCTAAATGTTTTGAGATTTTTAAGAAAAGGTCACTTCGCTAGGTCAGGATTGGTAGTACCCAAGTTGAAATGGCAGCAGTTTTGAAACCGTGCCCTAATATCGTGTGTGTCCTCCTCGAACAGCTATAGCATCTCTAATTCTTCG